GGCTGATTGAAGACCAGACGCGCCGCCGCGTTCTGGATCATTTGTAAAGGTTTTACTGTACAGGCCGGGAGACCGGTCAGGAGCGCGTTGCAATAGTCGAGGCGGGAGATGACCACAGACTGCACCAGGAGCTGGGTAGCACGTTGTGTTAGGCTTTAATGGTTCAGGCGGTTAAACGAGCTCAGGAGTGAGTGTGAGTGTGCGTGGTTGTGGTTGTGGGTCGCGTTGCTCCCCGTGATGGACTGGACGGTCTGGACAGGATGTACCCTGCCTCGAAACCTGACGGAGATAGGACGGGATAGGCTCCAGGAATCCTCCCCCCTCATGACGATACTCGGAGAAGCAGATAAGACAGAGCACGGGTGGAAAGAAAAAGAATTAGAAAGCATCTCTAGATCTGTGGAAGGACACACCAAGTCCGGCAAAAACAAAAGTTCTCTCAAATTATATTCCCTCCTAACTGGGAAACATAAAGTATTGACTGGTCAAAAAAAGAAAAATTAAAAATCCAACACAAAAACAAAAAATGGCTCAATAAACGCATTCCTCAAAGTCTAAATTAGTTCAGAAAAATAGTCTAATTCCACTTTATTTTCAGGACTTTATCCGGGCTAACAGAGTTTGATGTCTGTTAAACACCTCCCCCCCTTTCCTACACTCTGAAGTGATAATTGCATGAGTTTCCTCAACAATAAAATCATCTCTATTCTTCATAAAATCCTGCCCACGATTTTTACATAGCCGTATCATCTAAATACTCTTTAATGACAAAGTTTAAGGCTATAAAATGCTTTTGTTTCCACAATGCATTTACTCCTCTGCAGTCAGTAAGACACGGATCAGAGTGGACAGCGTTTCCACTCATCACTCATGGTGGACAGGCGGAAGCTGTCAGAGATCATCTCCATCCACGAGCTGTTACCCACTAGACTCCTAAACCTCAGACAGTTCATATAGTCAGCGTCTCACTTCAGACTGGAGCATTTTCAAAGGCCTTAAAAACTGCTGTCATTAAGCTTCTTCTAAAGAGGAGCGATCTGTGCCGGCCCAAAATCGAACCTGGAAAAGTCCTGGGAAAAAAAGTTTACTGATTTCTCAGTAAACTCAGAGGGGGGGGGTCAAGCACTGGTGTCACTTTTACCATCTTGTGCACTTTACTTGGAACTTGCTGCTACTAAGTATTGTACCCCAAACACAATTTCGTTGCCTTTTTTTGACAATGACAATAAATTCTTGAAATTGAAATTG